GGGATTTTAAAGTATCGTAAATATATTTTTATTTGGTCTCAATTCAATTATAAAAAGGAAAAATTTATCCCGAACCAGTTTAGAATAGCCCAATCCATTAGAAACAGAATGAAGCATAAGGTAAACTAATAAGTCTAAATGTAGATGCTGTTCCATGAGTAGAGAGATAAATTCTTGGTATCAATATTAAATTTATATCAAAGTCTATTATAATTTTGAGAACTCTTGGGATTGCAAAGTGAAAAGAAAGAAGCGCAGAATATATAAGGAGAATATAATTGCAAAAATTTAAAATGAATATTGTAATAATAACTTCTAATATGGTGCAATTTTTTTTTAAACAGTTGTAGACTGAAAATTGATTATGACTCAGGGGGGGGGGGTGAATCAGCGGATCTTAAATGGATGTGAATTTAAATAAATATGATATTGTATCAAAATACGGATTAATTACAAGCTTAACTTAATTATTTTGGATTAATTGCCATTTTATGGGATTGCCATTTTGTGGAATTGCCATTTATTTAATTATACAGTATGAATCCTTAAATAATACAGATATTATTTAGTGATGATAGATTTGAGAGAAAAATTATCTTATAGAGTAGGATTAAAACCATATCCTATTTGATGATAATATTTCGAATGAAGTTATTGAACAAGATAATTTAGATTGAACCGAAAGAAAGGATGGAAAATACTTAAAAAAGGGTCAAGATAGTGAGACAAATATTGGAACTATAAATACAGAATTTGACGATTAAAGGATTGAATATGAAGGAATATATATTGCATTTTTGGCTGGTAAGCTGCAGCACCCTGAATATTTTATCTATAATTTTATTTGCTGTTTCTGCAACCCAAATTGATTTATTATATTTTCATATAAATATATTTAATGGCTAACATTTTTTTCCGGCAATCAAGGATGAGTGAACAAATCTTTGAAGATATTATACTAATAAATCTACATAAAATTTAAAAATTTGATACAGGTCTATTGTTTGCATATTAGAATCGTTTAAAAAAAATTCAAAATTTTATTTTTTATACCAAATATATTTCTAGTTTTTTCAATTAGATAAATCTAAATAAAAAAAAATTTAATTTCTAATAATAATAATCGAGATTTAAGAATAGAAAAATTTTTTCTACATACAATTCAAACTCGCAAATCCGGGTTCAAAAATTTTACGCTTGAACAAACCTACTTATTTTCTTTAAAACCTTGGTTTTATTTCATTTTTGATTATACCCATAACTCACAACCCTCCTAAAGCCATTTTAGTTCACGTAAATACTAACACTCATGAAAGTCTGAATTTGAAATGATATCTAGTTTCCAATCACCTATTTTAAGATGACGTTCCCCTCCTTCATACATTATTACAATGAATTTGACAGTATATATAAGTATTTATATTTATTGTTATCTCAAATTTATAAACTCCCTTGGTTAAAATTTTTAGTTACAGCTCCAATTTTTTTTTATCTTTTAAGGTGCCGCGTGATCCAACCCAAATTAATAATAATATCAGACTCTATTATTGCTTCTAATTATCGTTTCATTACCAAACATATATTTTATTATTTTTATCTAGAGTTCTGGAATCTTTCATTTCCTCAGAAAACTATCATAATTCCTAATAATATTAGTTATAATTTCTCTATTTTGTTTCTAATGACGATTTCCCCATTTTGAACATATGAAGTTCAAATAAGTAGAATAATATGTTGATATATTATTAATAGGATTTAAGCTATTAATGTGATATTTTCCCAATATTTTTAATTTACAAGGGTTCACTCCTTTCGAAGCAATATGTGCATTTGTTTTATATTATTTTAAAACTAGGATTGGATTTATGAACAATGAATTAATAACAAATGTTATTTTTTTCATTTGTATTTAGGAGAAGCAGATTATTACATTATTGTTCGTGGAATTATGACAATTACATCCGTTAGAGGTAAATACAATAAAAGTTGGAAATCAGAATAGCTTAATAAATTATTTTTTATTTTACCAGATAAACCATATACTATAAGATATATGGGTATGCTAATAATATGATTTAATTATGTTTATATAAATATCCACCCCCTTGAGTCTCTAGTATTTTTATATTTTCCCATGCAGTTCATATACAATCATTTAATCATTATAATAAGTTATCCTAGCTGACTTCGAATAGAGTATTTGGCCTAATTATAGTAAGCGCACATTTACTCAAGCAACGTGATAAGCAATGTTGGATATTTTTCAAAAAGACACTAAATAATAGGATATCTGCCTGATACGATGAAATAATATAACTATATATTATAAATTCTTTCTATTATTTGATTGCTTTTGAATAATACACAACAATGTTTATATCACCCCCTACTACAAACGAGGCATTATTTTTAAATTTGAAGATTATTTTTAGAAATATAAATAAACTATAGTAGAATTTATTATAACATACATGATCTAGAAATTCTATTTATCTATTTTTCTTTTCCCGTTCATATATCTCAAAGCTTTATATTTTCTGCATTATATTTTAATTTAATGTTTTGTACTTTTTATTTAAATTTAATTTATATATTTAACAACATAAATAATATAACTCATTTTAACTTAAGATTGTGAACCATGTAATCTATATTTTATCCTACAATCTAAATAGGCATGGATGCGCAAATTCTAAGTATGTGATGTAGATTTTTTTTAAAGCTTTTCCAATTTGATTTTCTGTTCAATTAGAAATTTAAATATATAATTGAAATTTTTTTTTAAAAAAGAGATGCTTACAATTTTATTAAATAGAATAAATATACTTGATTTCAAAAAGAATACTAATTAATAAGTTAGCAATTGAATAAAACAATAGCTTATATTTTTCAGAAAAATAAAAGGATAAAATAAAAACTTGTTAACCATAAATGATATATTTATTTCAAAGCGAAATCTTCTTCTTTAATGAATAATTAAAACTTCCAATACCTTTCCTTGCTCAATGGTACGGGACATGAGTTTCTTGAGTCCATCCCATCTACCAATCTTCAGCTTCAACTATCCAACAATGAATTTACCCATGCCATCGGCATTCGTCTAAATTGTTCCATCACTCACCCCCACATCTGCTCAGGGTGCAACTCGCCAGTTGACTCGAAGGGTAGACATAGTTTACATTGTCGCTCCTGCAATGGACGATTCATCAGACACAAGCAATGTAATACAATCATCCAACATGCTCTGAAATCCGCCCAAATTCCTTCCACGTTAGAACCACAGGGTCTTTTTAGATCTGACGGTAAACGTCCTGATGGGATCTCTCAAATCCCATGGAGGAGAGGCCAACTTTTGGTATGGGACTATTCCTGTATTGACCCCTTGGCCCCATCCAACCACGCCATCAACATCCTTGACCAGAAGGAAGAACTTAAAATTTCTAAATACACAGAAATAATAAACGATCATTGCTTCATCCCAATCATATCAACCACTCTTGGCACCTTCGGCAAACTCGCCTTAGCATTTTTCAAAAAATTAGGATCACAAATCAGCAAACTCTCAGAAGAACCCCGAGAGGGTTTTTTTCTTCGTCAACGATTATCCATAGCGATTCACAAAGCTAATTATATCAGTTTCTATGGTAGCCTTCTAGCCAAAGAGCTATCATAGACAACGCTTACGTCCCTTTTTCATTTTTGTTTCCCTGCGTCACACCATCTCCGTTCTTTTTTTTAATAGTATTATTATATATTTTTCAAACATTTTTAATTATGAAAAATAAATGTTTTTTTTTCAATGCAAATATATATTTTTGTATTCGATGTAAATATTCAATTTTGCGATATTTTTTATATAAATAAATTGTATATTATTTAATAACTGATTATACTTTGTTTTTTTTATATTAAATAAATGTCAATAAATAAGTATTTGAATATATTTTATAATAAGATAACAGAATTTCATTTAATCTAATAATAGAATAAATTAAATTTTTTAAATATAATTATTATCAGATACCTACAGGCCCTATTCTAAACCCGGCCCGGGTACATGGGCTGAACCAAAAAATATACTCTTATGGGGTTAGGCCTAAATTAAATTTTTTAAACACCCAGTTCGGGCCAACTATTTTAAATTAACATTATTATCTATAAAAATAAATAAAATATAAAAATAATTAATAGAACATTATATAATTTCTTTCTTTCTTTCTTTCTTTCTTTCTTTCTTTCTTTCTTTCTTTCTTTCTTTCTTTCTTTCTTTCTTTCTTTCTTTCTTTCTTTCTTTCTTTCTTTCTTTCTTTCTTTCTTTCTTTCTTTCTTTCTTTCTTTCTTTCTTTCTTTCCTTCCTTCTTGCCCATGATGTGTTAAATATCTTACTTAAAAACAATCGATACTTAATTAATAATATCTTTCGCCAGATTTTTAATTTTTTTTTAAAATAAATTAATTTTTAAATTTTTTTAGTTTTTATAAAATATATATTCAATTTATTAATAAAAATAAAAGTAATTATTTTAATATATTAATATCAATATTGATGTATAATATATAATATATTTTTGATATTACCTAATTAATAAAAAAACCTGTAAAGTACGAAGGTTCATAATTTGTAGTCGCCATAATTCGGGTAAGTCAACTTCATTTTATAATGTTTGGTATAAAAAAATAATTAAAAAATTATTATACAGACAATATCACTTGCATAAAAGAAAGTAATTTATTAAACAAACGTGTTAAAATTTACAGTTCAATCCAATTTATTACTTTTTAGATGGAGATAGCATAAAAATAAATGGTTTAAAGATTTACCAGCTTATATATTTAATTATTCCCAAATATTTAAAATTTTTATTAAGGATTCAAAATTAATTTTATATCATATTTATGTCATAATTTTTTTAATTATAGCAAACACCCTTACTCTCATGCATTTAAATGGTAGATTTTTAAATTTTATATAATTTATTAAATATTTATACTACTTAATAGAATACATAGACAGAATGGACTATTACATCGAAAGTATATTATATCAGCATTCAAAACTAATCCTTACTTGATAATTTTTTATGCATATTAGAGATGTGCGAAACTCGATCAGTTCGAAAGCTAAACAGCTTGACCCGCGGACTGGAAAATTCCTTAAAATTAGAATTACCCGAGCTGGGAATTTTTTTAAAAAGAGCTAGCCTAATGTGCTAGGCCAAGTCGGGCAATTCATTCATAAAAAATTTTAGGGCTGGGTCGAACAATATAAACAAAATATCAGTCAAGGTCTCGCAAATCTCTGATTTTTAATAAGCCAGCCAGGGTCTCAAAGTTCTATTTTTTTTTTAATTTCAAACTAATATCTTGATTAATACTATTTGAAAATAAATTACAATATGCTTATTTCATTGTAATTTAAGATCTGTGTAATTAAATTACTAAATCTATAAATAATATAGTAAATTTACAAAATATTTATTTATGATATATTACAATTAAAAATGCACAATTTATAAAACGGTTATTTTAAGAAATAGATCACCACAGAAAGGAAATATAATAACCTGAATTGACATTGGGAAAAAATTAAATAAATATATAAATGCGATGACTAAAAATTCGCATAAAAAAATTTAACATGTAGGGGGTGGACTTGTAAAATTTTAATGGGCCAGGCTCCACTTTTCGCAAATTTTTTTAAAGTCGGACCTACAATTTGGGTGAAAAATCATAACGGCTGAAGACCGGGTAGGACTTTGCTGGCATCTAATGCATATAAATATGCATATAATAAATATTACTGTATTATTGTTAAATGTATTCCCAAAAACCATAATTGATCTAAAAATTTATATTTAAATATTTTTTCAAATATAAAAAAGTTCCTAGCTGTAAAATTTTTAAATTTGGGACCTAGTGGTCTTAAAATTTAAAGCAAATTGGCAAAAAATAGTCGTTTGTTTATTATTATTAAAAGATTTTAAAAAAATTTCTTACATTTTTATATATATTTTTTTTCAGTTTGTGTATGTAGACTTGAATTGATGTTAAAAGTCAGTGATTATACACATGTGTAGTCCCAGATTAAAAATTTCCCACAATCCCATGGAATTGTCATAGGACAATTACACCATGCTTAATTACCTGGAGAAACATTAAAAGGCTCTAGCTTATTATCTAGTCCAAAATAATTAATCACACAAATTCTACATAAGGGACACTGGGGCTGGTCAAACCGATTTAAAAAAATGGCTATAATCTTTGGTTTTTTTATAGATAATAAATATACGATTAGAAAACTAAATCAATATTTTGTAAAGGTGCCTTATAAAAAATTTAAGAATATAATCTATTTTTTTAATTTTATTTTTGCAAAATTGAAAATATTGTCCTACAAGCCCTAATAGCTGGGTGAGACAAACTTTTCAAGGGGCTTCCTAAACCATTGGTTTTTCAGGCCATAATAAATTGAAATGTATTTTATTTTATTAATAATGATATGTATACAATAATTTTATTATTTTTTTGTTCAAAATATCATAATACTTATAAATTGAAGCTAATAATATATTAAAATTGAAACTTAATTTTGTTAATTTAATACATTTGGGTACTAAAATAATAATAAGACTTTTAAGGAGAGATTATTACTTCTTTGCGTAAATTTCTTAAATATCAATCATTAACAGCTATAAAATTGTCTTATCAAGATTTTGAAATTTTTTTCATTTTATTAACTTCTATAATTGACGTATATGGTTAGCTCTAAATTGACAAATCATGATTGAAATAATATCTAGATATAATAAATACTAATAAAACTTTCCCAAATTATAGAAGAGTGTTTAAAATTTTCTATAAAATTTAATTAACATATAAATCATTATATATTTTAATAATAAAATTCTGTTGTAAAAATCTTTTGAAAATTTTATGATAAAATTTTTAATAATTAATTATTTCAAACGATTTTCTTATCAGTAGATGTAAAATAATAAAAAGTATATTTGGATAAAATTTTAACCTTCTGGTGTATCTAATTTTAAAATGAGAAGTAATTTGCCATACCCAGGGGTTCACCTAACCCCAGTCTCCCCTATATGGAAGAGATAATATTTCTTTCTAACTATCAAAAATTTAAAAAAAAAATGTTTTAACAACTGAGCTTTATCCTATAAAAAAAGACTGAGATTAATTGAATCGTGTTTTGATATGCGATCTTGAAGAGATGATATTACATCTAATTATTGTTGATAAGTTATTTGTAAATTTATAAAATTGAACTAGTAATCAGATATCTTTTCCTTGAGAATTATATCTCTTAACAGATGTAATTTGATAAGTTATAGTTTTAATAAGATGAAATTTAATAATAAATGAGGGTGAACCATATTTTGATATGAATTATACAAAATTGTTGTGCCATGTTAGTTATAATTTTTAGATTTTTTAAAAAAAGTTGTAGATATATATTGTTTAAAAATATTTAGGTAAAGATTTGTGGATCGGAATAAGTAAATTAATATAATATAAATTATTTTTTAAAAATAAAACAATTTTAAATGATCAGAAATGGGAGGGAGTAATGGAAGCCTCACTCTTAACCTAGGTATAAAATTATCAAGAATTTAATTCTATAGAATAATTTTAAATAGTTCAAGAAAATGCACCGAGGAGTAAAATACTTTGGGATATTTATAGCTAATATAATTAATTTTTTTATAACTTTTCTGAAATTCGGGGTAATATCATGCTATTTTTTAAGAAATCGTCTTTATAGTCTCAGGGATGGAATGAAATATCTAAATTAGTTATAGTATATAAACAGTATAAATATTAAAAGATATATATTTAGGAGAGAAACTAATTAATTATATATTTTACGCTAAGTCTCTAAGACCTAAAGATGAGATAAGTTATAAGTAATATAAAATTATAGCCTAAATCTATTGCAAAATATTTCCCTTCCGAAAACTGAAGGGATGATAAATTTATACATTTATATGATTTTATAAATAAATAGGTTTAGATTTTAATATTATCCTCTAAATATCTTTGGCCCCTCACAAATAAATGCGGAATTGCCTAATACACATTTTTACTTATAGGAACTAATATAAACTTAGAAAAATATATAATTTCTTAATTTTTCTTGTATCCATATTCACACACAATGCGAACTAATATTCATATCATTTAGTATCAATAACAAGAAACACGTTTAATCCAGGCAAGATACTATTTTATTATAAAGTATAATGAGTAGATAGGATTTCTATCCTGAATAGGTATATTCGGTTAGAGTACAATTTGGGATTGTATTAAATAAAAGAATTATAAAAATTTATCGATATATTATTTATAATTTCAAGTGATTATACTATCCTATTAAATACCATATTACAGTTAATATTAAAATTTAATATAATATTTTTATAATTGAGTTGTTAAGGTTAAATCTGTATCGAATACTAATAATTGTACCAAAATATTATGTAGCCTATTTTATAATAGTGACACAATATATTTGTTTAAAGAAATTAATAAATTTGGTAAGTAAAAATTTCATAAAAATTAAATATTATATATTTAGCTAATCAGTGCACTGATAAATCATTAGGCAACGGGCTTACCTTTAATAAAATAAATCGACCAGTCACGACTTTTTACTCATTAATGGCCTATATTATTTTTATTATTATACATTGATTTTTCAATAAGATATATATATATAGAAATTTTGATATATTTTTAAATCTTTATTAAAACTAATTAATTTATATTAAAATAATTAAACAAACTATACATTTTATTTTTAAAACTAATAACTTTACTGATGATACGAATTCCAATTAATATAATTTTAATTATAATAAATTACAATTAACATCATTTTAATTATAATATATCTTTAAAATTGTTTTTGGATCCTCTTCTTTTTTTTAAATAATGAAAATATTAATCCTTTTAAATAGAATTTAAAATATTTAACTATGTTAAATATTTGGTTTAGATTTATATTTATAAGCTAGTTTTAAGACATAATTCAATTTTAATTATATTGTTTTAAAAAATACTCTCATCTAATCCCTCTTTAGAAAGTATTCTTCAAATATTAAAAAATGCCTATTATATTAATGGTTATGATTTATGGTAGAAAGATAAATATTTAAATAGGGGTTCACTTGCGTCTATTCCTTTCCAAAAAATGCAAATTGGATTCAGGTTGATAAGCCGAGAAAATAATATTCTGAATTAAAAAATTATGTTTTTTTTTACCAATCGTCATCCCTTAACTTGGGCGTATGTCAAAATCATGGCCATTACATCAGCCCAGTGAATTATATTTACTAAATCATGTTTTTTGGAACTTGTAGTAGGTGAAATTTCCGATATATTTTAATTTCTGCCTTAAAAATCTTATTACCCTTAATGATCAAAAGATAATATTTTACAATAGAATAATATATTAGTCCACTAATATATTTGATTAGTACATAATAAATATTTCCTTTATAATGATTAATTATAAACTTATTTTTCAATAAAAAGCTACCATTTAAATAAAAATCCACAATCGAAAGCCAATAAATCTTTTTGATAATGTATTACATAGAACATGGCGTATAATTATTTTAAATTATAGGTCGATTCTTGTTGTTAAATGGTTACAAACCATTTTATATAAATAATTTTTTATTCAATGTTGATTAATACGCTAAAAGTTAGGCGTGTTTTTAAAATATTACAACGATGTGTGCCCCTTTATGTAATACAGAAATTAAATTTATTAAGTAGCAGTAGTAATATTATTTTTAATTGATAAAATAGATTATATAATCTAATTATCGTTTAAAGAATTTTTAAAAGGAAAAATTCCCCAAATTTTTATTTATTAAAAGCTATAAGAATTAATGACAAATAACGTTTAATATATTTTGCAAAAATTTATTCAAAAATCTTTATGTCCAGCTTTATTTCTAGCAATAATTGTTATTTGATTATAATGACTGCTTTTAGCTCTATCACATTTGTGAAAAACGATTTTAATTTCTTGAGATTTTGTTCAGCATAATCTTGTTCTATTTTCTTCTAGTTTCATAGAAACAGTTTTATAACCTACAAGCTTGTTTGAACCGATATCAAATTTTATTATATGAATTAATTAGTAATTTTGGCAAAATTAGATCAGAGGCTATGTCGATATTTATTTATATAAATAATTTATTTTATAAAATTGATTATATTAAAGTTGTGATAGCTAATCAACTAGGTAATATGCTTCTTTGAAATATATAAATTATCAATAAACGGTTAATAAATCCTTTTTCTTTTTATTTACCAAGCTCAATTATTACTATTTGTGTAAATTTAAAAATGATTTTATTTAAAAATGGAATTTATCAGATATATCAGATACTGGGAATAGCACCTTAATAATAAATATAGGTATAGTTATATTTAGTTCAATTTAATTGATTTCTATAAATAAAATACAGCGTTGGAAACTAAGAAATTAATATTAGTTAGATTTTATAATGTAACCGCAATTTAGATTGTTTATAAAATCGTCAATGAGATATATTTTTTACTATATTATAAATTTGAATTATACACATGAAGACTATCTAATAATTTATTAAAGCAAATGTTATATTTACTTCATTCTTTAGGAGCAACTGAAATATTCCGTGGGATAGGTTATATTTAAATTTATATAAGTATATTTTTAATGTATAATTTTAGTCTCAGTGTTTACCTATATTAGAAACTATAGAATAGGTTCAATTTTTTTCTGGTCCATTTATTTTAATTAATGAATTATTTTAGACAATAAATCATATATAATACAGCATAACGGTATACCTATTAAATAAATAATATACATATTTATTTAGTGAAAATTAGAGATGATTTATATAAGATTAGTAAAAGGAAAAAAAATCAATATGATTTATGAAATAAAAATAACTATTTATTTTTTCATATAATATATTTTAATTTTTCATAATTTTTTCGGCGAAAGTAAAAAATTCATAATAAAACGATTTAATGCTACATGGAGAATAATTATTTATTTAAAATAAGTCATATAAAAGCAAACTATTTAAATAAAATATTAATTTAATAATAATTTATTTGTTTGAAATGGGTGCTAATTATTTGAAAACTGATGCTATTATTTAAAAATTGGTGACTAATTTAACACTTTTATAAGGGTATATCATTAAATAATTTTTCTGGCATCCCCTTCTATTATGCTTATTTTTATCGTCCTTATAAAAATCTTGGATTTTGGATTTATATTTTAAAAAAAGCTTTAAAAAAATAGTGTCCTATGTGAACCCAGACAACAACAATTATTTGGACCCAGAGATTTTCCTGAACTATAAGCTAGAAGCGAACTTTTTTTTTAATGTAGGGTTTAGAGTAGAATAATTTTTTAAAATTATATTTATTTTTTATTAAAATTTCCCTATTTTATTTTTTTTCAAAATTATAAATAAATTAGAACCTATATTAAAAAAATAAATAAATTTAAATAAAAACATTTTTTTGTTTTCAATATTAAAAACATTTTTTATTTGGATCTAATATTTGTCTGAACACCCTGAAACACCTGAACCCGAACCCGGTTCAGAGAATTTTTGGTAATCCAAACTCTTTATTTAGAGGATAGCTTGTAATAGGCCCTTTTTCAAAATTAGCGCTAATTTTAAATAAGGAGTTATTTATCACATAGCCAGGGATCTCTCTGGCATCTTATAACATATAACACTTCACATTATAAAAAGTATAATTATAAAATGATATTTATAATATTCTAATATATTTTAATAATATGATTGATATAAAAATTATGATAATTTTACAAAAAATTTAAAATTGCATTTAAGTTTAATTCTTAAACTTTTGATAAATTAATTAAATTAAAAACAATTTATGATACCCTTATATTTATAATATAAGATTGTACCTACAATATATTTTATTTGATAAAGGACTCAATATGAATATAACCAGAATATAATTATTGTTACAACTTTACTTTAAATTGATTAAATTTGGGGTTAACTTTTATTAATATTGCAATCATTAGAAAATTTCCTTAATTTTGGATTTTGGGTTTATATTATTATTTAATTAATCATATAATACTGATTTTGCTTTATTGTTTATAAAAAAAAATTTGCATTTAAGTTATTAATTGCTTTAAGGAAAGAGAAACGAGGGGTTAACAATCAAAAAGTCTATCACTTGACGTAATAAAATAGAGCAAAAGTTTAGATTTTACTTTTTTTAGGGTTTTCACCTTTTTAAATAGTGTTTGATTTGGGCAGCTAGTTTAGAAGATATCGATGATAACTAAAATCAGATTTATACCCATTTTCATTTGTTCACGATTTAAACATCTAAACTATTTAAATATAAGACCCAATGTTAGCTAGCATTACTATATATTAAAGGATGATATATATTATTATCAATCAGTGATCTTTGAATTTTCTCATTGTTAATTTACCAAATACTCATTTTTAAAGATTAAGGAGATCAGGAATAGTTTATAAAAAGAAGAAATTTATACTGATTTTTTTACTTTCTGCTGAATGAGTTAGAGCAATTCCAAATAAAAGTTACATCCTGAATAGTAAATGATTAAAATCGGACATACTTATTAGACAGGTATAATATGTGGTATCGACATGGATAATAAGATTGTTTTTTTAATTATTCTGTTAATTTTTAATTTGAATCATTTTTTAAATCTGGAATTAGATTCTACCCAATACTCTCATAATAAAGTTGGTGTATTTTATTTAAAAAGTCTAATATTAAGTTTATAATTATTTACCTAAAAATGTGGAATTTGGTAGAGAAATTACGTATGTAGTTGCAGTTCAAACACTTTTGTTAATCCCTTGTTCATGTTTAACATGTTAATATTAATGTGATTTTTGTAGCAAAAATCCTGCTTAAATTTATACACTTTAGTTTTTTTTATTTGAAAATGCTACAAATATTTAACCTTCTAAATCACTACATAAATATTAAATATTAATTTTATTCTGGAGCTGTAAAGATTTTAGATAAAATGCTTATAATGTAGGATGACTTTAACTCTAAGCTTATTCAAACTGCAAGTGGTAATATCAACATATGTTAAATATTAAGTAATATTAAGGGGACCAATCGCCTTAAGAAATATCAATTTTTATGCCTAATATCTAA